TATGCTCCTATGTAATAATAATAATAATAAAATTGAACTTTATTGATCTCACATTGGAGAAATTTATCTGTGCATTTAACCTATCCCCCTGGGGAGCAGTGGGATGCCACTGTGCGGCTCCAGGGGAGCAGTGTGGGGGTGAAGGGTCTTGCTCAGGAACCCAGGGTGGAGGCTGTGGGGATCAGACCGAGTACTTGCAACCTTCTCTGAGCACAAGCACATTGCTCTAAGCCACTAGGCCAACACTAGTGGCTTATATGAGAGAGAGAGGGAGAGAGAGAGACACAGAGAGAGAGAGAGAGACACACAGAGAGAGAGAGAGAGAGAGAGAGACACAGAGAGAGAGAGAGAGAGAGAGAGAGAGAGAGAGACACAGAGAGAGAGAGAGAGAGAGAGAGGCATTTTTTTTTCTGTGTAGTGTTAATATCAATCATATTCCTCAATTGATTTTTATGATGTTTACATGCTTTTTTTTGTTTAAACTTATTTAAAATAAATAAATCACTTCTTTTGTAACTACTTCTGATACTATTACTTCTTCTACTTCTAGTACTATTGCTACTTAGTCAAAGCAGCTATATTTAGTCATGGTTTTCAATTAATTTGCAGCTTTTTGTTTCTTTTTTTTTTTTTCAAAACACATTATTGTATATTTTCTTACGGTGTTGAAGTTAGTTTCTTAATAGCCAACAGTTTTTTTTTTAGCACTCTACCTTCCTAGGAATGAAATGTCACACTTTGTTGCTTTTCACATTATGTTTTTTTAGGTAGAAATATTTGTATTTAAGTTGAAGGGGAAGTATAGGAATCTATTTTCAGCCAGCTTACTGGCAGTGTGTAGCAATCAATGGGGGAAAAGGTAGGCCTTTATTCTCTTTACAGCTAGAGAAGTTTCCAGTCACTCTGTTTCATTTTAAACCTTTCTGTAACTTCATACAAATAATCATCCCATCCCTACTCATTTTATTGCTTTATTTTGTTTTCTTCCACTCTGCTCCTATGCATTTATATTCGTCCTCTTTCCCTGTGGTCAGTGTCTCCACCTGTCTCAGTGTGTGGGCCAGACAGTGGTGGAGCTTCTCTGCCAGGGACCAAAGATCCCCAGTAGAGCTAATGGAGCAGAAAAGAGAATATCAATTAAAAGGTTATAAATATTTAACAGCAGAAATATTCAATAATATAAGGATGGGGGGTCCAAGAGACTTCTCAAGTCTCAAAGATGAAAGTTGTGGCATGATAAATGTCACCAGGCACCACAAGTGTGCACATGATTGATAGACTTTGGACTCAGTGCGATATTACACGGCTGTAAAGATGTCAATAATCATTCAGATCCCCACATTTTATATGTCCAGGATTAATGTGCTTTTAGTTGGGTAAAGATCGGAGATTCATCTAAAGAAATCTTTTTTGGTGAGATCTTCATTATCCCCTTGTGACCCTGGCACCCTACCCCCATATTAATTATTTCTCACTTACAGCTACGATCCTTCTTTGAGCTGCTTCATATGCCCTTTTTCTGGTCCTTCTGCACCAATTATACAATTTTGATGATCAAAATTAACACAGACGTCAGGGTCTGTTGAAAAACAACTTTAAATGTTGCACATCTTCCCCCAGTATTCCGCATGCGATTGTCAGCCATTCCAAGCATACCGGTATTGATCGGCTGTCCAGCCTGCAGAGACAGGTAGAAGAGGATGTCCTGATCTGATGGATTACTGTATGAGGCCCAGAGGCACAGGAACCTCAGTATTGATGTGGTTCTTTAATCCCTGGGTTGGACGTGACCTTGCCCTGTAACCTCATCCCCCGCCCCCAGCCCAGACAAACAAACACACGCAAAATCAGCTCCTGGTTTCCTAACAAACTCACCACCAGTTCCTTGCATGTTGGAGTTTAGACTTCCATCTGCTCCTGGAGGTCACTGCTTTGTCTATCAACCTGGATTCAGTGGAAGCTACATCTGATACTTATCACCTTAAGGAAAGGAAGATCAGACATGCCTTGTGATTTTTCTGTGTTTTGGTGATATATTTATGAAGCTCCCTTAATTCAATTTTACTAACTAATAATCAAACAGCTTTTGCTGTTTCAAAATTATGAGTATATTAAGTAAATGTTCATTCTGCTATAATAATTTTAATATGTTATTAGAAGCAGACCAACACAAAGTAGCACATAATTGAGAAGTGGAAAGAAAATATTAAAGATTATAAGTAATCCTTACAAACCGCAATTTAAAGTATGGCGCTCAATTGGAAATCAGCCCCTTTAGTTTGATATCCTTTATTACAATCAAGTACAACTATTTACCCGCAGGGGTTCCCTAATTAGTAAATACACCTGAGCTTGGAGAGGAAGAAAGTAACTTTCTGGAGAAGTTTAAAGCAGGATGTAGTTGTTAACAATATCTTAAACTTTGAACATCTCAAGAGGGTAATTTTCAATTAATAACCCAAAATTGGAACAAGCATAGGACAACTTCAGATCTAAATAGATCAAAGCATTTAACCTAACCTGACAAGCCAGAAAAGGAAAGCATTAAGCACTCAAGTAGTCCAAAGGTAATGCTTGAGGAGCTACTAAGAGGCATTCCAGAGATGGTTAACACAGCTAGCCATGGGCTCCAAAAAACTATTCTTCAAGAATCTCCATAGGAGTACAAGAAGTGAGAAGTTACCTTCCAACAGGGCAAAAACAACTAATCTTACAACTATCAGGTCATTTACATCAAAGCATATTTATATATTGAAATGGTCCAATCAAACTCCAGCCCAATATTCAGGCAATAGCCTGGAAAAAGACTAGAAAATTGCTCTTCACAAGCAATAAACATTCAGTCTTGCTGTTAAAGGTTTAGTGGAGAATTTTTGCGAATTTTTGAGTAGACCCGCCCTCTCCAAAGAATTTGCATATGAACAACCATGTACCCATTCTCGAGAGGGAACGCCTATTAAACACGTGCAAGAGCATGCGCGAGTCAATTTCTCCTTGTGCACGCTCTGTTTAAGTTGCTGTCTACATAGCTCTTACAAGCTTACTTTTGAAAAGAAGATTCGCTATTTGTACACGATAAGTGATAATGTGGACAAGCACGTAGGAACGCCTTATGTAAACATATCACCAGAATGATTGACAATTAGGAGTACCGCTTATTTTGATGATCCACCCAGAAAAGAACATCCTCCACTATACCTTTAAAGTCTTTAGGCTTTTGTGCAAGTATTTTAGCTTCTCGAGTGCAAAACTTGTTAATACGTCACCCAAAATAGCAACTAAAGTTCTAGCGAACAAGATTTTTATTTTTTTCAAAATATATTTACCAATCACTCCTTTCTTTATAGATCTGCAAGAAAAATAAGCACAATTTTAGTTTCACTTTAGAATTATGTGCTGTATTTGTCAATCAATCACATAAAATGATATAGTTTGTGGTATTAATTTGAAGATTCTGTAAAGGATAAACGCCTTAATGTAGTTATTGGTAGATTTCCCTGGATAAGGATAGAATATTAAAAAAGTGAGGAATTAATAATTGAAATGATGGGAAAAATGTATTTAGTTTTTAGTTTATGGTACAAATTCAACGTCTGCATGTGTGGATGAATCATAAGTCTATATTGTGTGGCTTTTGGCCTCAGTCAGAAGTGTTTCCCCAAGAGCAAGAAAGGCCTGCGCCTGTGAGGATTGGGTTGGGATTTTCATTTTCTTGAAACACCTTCTGTTCTGTTCTGCATCATCCCACCTGGGACCACGGCGCTGATATTTTTAGAGGGCATGTTCCGAGAGCCTCCGTCGCCAAGAGGGAAGGACAATGGAGGGTGTGATGTTACATCAATACTTGGCGCAAGTGGGGGGAAAGGAAAAATCCTGGGTGGCCTCAATGAGTTCTGGAACGCCTTTCCTAAAGGAATTTCATATTAGAAGAGAAGGAGGTCTTAAAATGGCTGCTATACAACCCAATATATGAACACCCACACCTGTGCATGTCGGTGCCATGCGCTCTTTGCCCTCAGGTGCTGTTAACGGTTCGCTGAATGAAAAAAAAAAAAAAGGCTTTCACCTAATGTTCCCCTGCAGAGTTGCCAGACAAGCTGAAGAACACTTTCATCAGTGTGGCTTAAAATGGCTGCTGGTTAAGTGCAAAGGTTCTTCTGCTCGACAAAACATAACCTCAGGTCAACGTTGCTTGGGTGAAAGCACTGTCTTTTAATCAGATTAACACCTAGATTTTTCTGCGTTATAGTGAGAACAAGAGATTTTTTGTGAGTAATTTGAAAGATGGTTGCTGGTTTTGGCTTAAGGTAGTCAGTGGCCCACCCTTGGCATTGCTGCGGCACAAAGACAACAAGAGACAAAACTGCAGATGGATTGAAGAATATTGATGTGCACGACCCGCGGCTGCCTGTGAGCAAGGCTGAATAATTTAAGCAAGTGTGTTGTGACGACAATCTAATGCACAACAATCTCGGTTTCTGCATTTTTTCAAACCAAGCTGTGCTCCTTGTATCTACAGCCCTGGCTTTGTCTGTCTTTTTTGATAAATGCTGAATGAAGCAGTTCAGCACACGCTTGGTGAAATTTCATATTTCTTTTGGTCCAGCCAAAAACTGCAATCCCAGATTTATTAACTACACATATTCCCATCAGTCTAGTTTCATATACTAAAGTTTTGCTTGGGTGAAGCAGGGCAAACACAACGTAAAACCATTTCTAATAACAAGAGTGTGTGTTTGTGTGTTTGAAATGAGTGTGCTCCACCTTTTTCTGCTTGTATTTTTCTAACCCCATCTTCCCACAACTTCTGTTATGGCACGAGTGGTTGAGTTACAGAGGTCCAAATTGAACCTGCATTTTTATTACAGCTTTTATTATTGTTTTTATTAAATCCAGAGTCTAGAAATCCATTTTATCGTCACCCCGAGGAAACTGTAGTACCTCACCACGCGGGTCACCCTTCTGACTATGTGGTACTGTCATTTCCTGTGGCTCTGCAGATCCAGAGTGCGCCCTCGAGAGGGTGGCGGAGGATGGTGAGGCCGGGCATCTGAGGAAGAGACTGCTCTCTCCAGAGGAAGGAGAGGAGGGAGAAGAGGAGGACGAGGAGCCTGCGCTGCACAGCTGCGACAGCTGCCGGCAGGTGTTCGAGTCGCTGAGCGATCTCACCGAACACAAGATTAATCAATGCCAGCTGACAGGTAAACAACGTTCAGCCCACTGAGCCTCCCATCCTCTCTGCCACTCAGCTCATCTCCCACTCCCACTCTTACTGCCTGTGCCTTCAATAGAGAATATGCCAAGCTATGTGTGTTAGTACACTACAACAAGGGGAGCACAACACCAGATTTTCTAGTTTTTCTGGTAAATATCCAGCAACATAGGCCTCATACACGTATGGTACTATTTATATACACCCTACAAGCTAGGACCTGGTGCACAAAAAGGCCTCTGTTCATCCTTGTACTATGAGTATTTATAATCAGAGCCATACCCTTGCTTGTTTTATTGCACATACATATCTCTTCTAACAATATCTGTTAGTGACCTGGAGTTGCTTGGTCCAGATTATCAGCTGAGAACACAACCTCCCTGTAGGAAAGTCCCCCAGCCGGTCCCAGTGCTAATATGCTGCAGTAGTGATACCTTGTGGGACTGAAGGAGAAGGATGACATCGGCAGACTATGTCATTGACCTGTTGATGGATGAATAGGACTAAAATACACTGACAAGGTGGCAGACAGAACTAATGATGTGAACTGAAGGTTTTCATGTGCTTCTCCTGGACCTGCTGTCCTCTTTTACACATCCTGATGGGCCTAGATTGAGAAATGGCATCTGAGGCACGTTCAAAGTGGCAACACAAGCCAGGATATGATTATTTGAAGTTGGATACACCCTATAAACTTCTACAGGTTGGTTAACAAAAACTTGAGGGTCCTTTTTGAGAACCCTTGCTTAGTCTGTCTTCTGTTTACATTCATGCTCAGTTTGGTTTCACATTTTGCAGTCCACAGTCAGCCGACCACAAATTATAGGTTTGACATCCCAAGAGCATTACGAAGATTTTCCATCATCTTGAAGACACAAGTCCAGTGTTTGAGGGTGTTCATTTTAGAGTATGTGTTAAACTAATAGTTGTGTTCTTTAGAGCATAAAAGCATGTTTGCTCATTACCAAAAAACAAAAGAACTGGCGTTCTTTTTTTTTGGTTGAAGACTTTATTCAAAGGACTCTCTTCAAAGGACCCCCTAAACTGCTGAAAAACCTGAAACTTCTCCATCTTGATTAAAGATTGATTCATCTTAATTTAAGAAAACCATTCAGAGGAAGGATCAATTGTTTTCCACAATGAAAGCTAAATTCCTATGTCTTTGTCTTTATTCCTTCCTTGGAAGTACTTTTTCCTGGATGACTCAGCATCTTTACCAGCAGGCCTGTCTATTGCTTCAGTTCAAGTTCATATGTATGAAATTCAAAATGCTTTCTATTTTTTTTGCAATATGCTTGATTTAAACTTAAAAATTAACTGGTTTGAAACATTTTAATGGGTGCCTCCCCTTCAGCTGTCTGTGTTTCAGTTTATGTCAGGCCCCTGCTACTGTCTCAACAGCCTGTCTGTCCTTGAGACCTTGTGAAAGTACCCCTTTAATTTTAGTTTTTTAACAGGCCGCAACCACAATCGTCAACGTATCTCATTGGCATTTTATGTAATAGAGAAAAACAATATAGCAAATAATTGGGAGTTGGGATAAAATGGATACATGGTTTTCAAATACTATATTTAAAAAAAACAACAACTACGGTATGTAGTCTTGTTTGAATTTGCCTTTCCTGTAATACTCCTGAATAGAGTCTTAGCAAAACAATTGCTTAACTAGTAAATAAGAGTCCAACTGTGCATAGTTTAATTTCAGTACAGAAACAAAAGCTACAGAAGAAACGAAGAGGCTCATGGAGGAGCTAAGTGGGAGAATCTGTTGAGACAACAATTATTTGTTATGCACTTTACAAAGCTGACCTTTATGGAAGAGAGGCAAAAAAGGAAAAACTCTAGCATGCACTTTTCTGCCATGTGGGGGATAAATGTAAAAGACTCTGGTCAGACAAGAAAAAAGTTTAACTTTTTTTTCCTATATAGAAAACACTTTAACTTTGCTTAACACCTTAAACACACTGTTGCTACACAGCTATGTGGATGCCTTTAATTTGAGAAGAAGAGGTTTTAAAAAAAAACGTGGATCCAATTAATTACTCGACAAACCAGGAAGAGAACCTGTATTTGCTTCAAAAGACATTATCTTTTCAGTATCCCTAAACAGGTAGTCAGCTCTATAAAGCAATAAATAAGGTGAAATCCATGTATATTTTTTTTTCTTCCACTTTGCAACTAAGCAGTACTTCGCCTTGTTGTAATTTCCAGAGAAATCCAGAGAAATGTGTTTGTAGCGGGACAAAAGGTCAATAATGCATGAATACTTTTAAAAGGAAAACAAAAGATTCCACATAGCAGGAAAAATAAAAGTCTTTTGTAAACTGCAATATTCAACAATGGTCATACTGACTCAGTAATATTTTTTTCCATAATTAAGCCCAATCTTTTGTAAATGTCAATCTAACAGAAAAATAACTCTTAATTGCTCAATGATAGGAGAAAAGAAATTGTTTGGATAAGGGCCCCTGTGGAAACTAAACAAAAGAATCTAATTGCCATTAGGGTATTGTGATTGTGCAGAAACACTCTATTAGTATTCAAACGCAGCGGGAAAAAGGAAACTTCTAGATGGCATACTAAGTACTTAGAATGTTGGTGCGTGTACATGCTTGTTTGTGTGTTCTCAGGAATATTGAAAGATTTCCTACGTGGCATTATGTAGACATCCATGACCAATTAATCAGCCTTACATCGAGCCTCTGCTCACAGATGGATGCTTTATTAGAACCATTTTCTAATCAACTGGCAGCACCTGCTAAACTTTCAGTTTTGTATAATTTTTTTTTTTTTTTTTTTTTGTGGTTTACAAATTGCAGAGCTCGACTGGAACCAATCCACATTTTCAATTTCATTCAAGATTTGTATGCTGACAGAACTCTGTCCTACAGAGTGTTACTAGAATCACACAAGACAATATATGCAGACATTTTCTGGCCTCTTTGTCTTTTTACAGTTCACTCCTAGGCTTCATTTTTATATAACAAATAGTTGAAAAAATTGATATTTCTTTTTTTTTTATCACATTTGCAGGTTTTCTTACAGGATTTGTGAAGCAATCATTATAATAAAAATGAAAATAAAGACAATGGAACATACATCTGTGAGACAAAACAAGCTATAAAGTCAAAACGGCTAGTTGACCACGCCCGATGAATAGAAAGACAGAGAAAGATGTTACATGCAACCTCGATCAATGGCAGCCATTGTCTCTCCCTCCATCTAGCAGAGGTGTAACACCTTTCCATGCACTTAAGCTGTGACCACTGCAGTGCGCTAAGGGAGCGCATGGGTATGGATTGCCTGGTGTCCCCGATGCGATCGGTGGTATTGATCGTACTAATGCTGGACTGCAGAGGAAGGCAAGAGCATGAGAAAGGGAGCAAGGGAGGAAGAGGGAGATGGGGGAGAGGGAAACAGGGAGAGAAAGTGCTGCAGGAATGCATCCCCAGGGAGCCCGTCTTGGGCTGGGGCAGGGCTTCAGGAATGCTCCCCAGGAGATCCCAGTGAAGGCTAAGGCAGGGCTGGAAGAATGCTCCTCCAGAGAGTTGAGAAAGTGGAAGCTGGCTGGGGCAGGGCTTGAAGAATGTTCCCCTAGAGCACCCCTTTAACACTGGGGCAGAAGCAAGGGGGGAGTTTGTGGAGCTGGGGGTGGGGAGTTTTCCTCAGGCTCCAGGATGGCTGCAGATCAGGTTTCCGTGTGGGGATCAGCATCCTGCCGACAGGGCTTTAGGCTGCCCTAGGGAGGAGACAGGAGGCTGGAGGCACAGCTATTCCACAGGCCTTTCCAAAAACAATTCACAAATACTTTATCTCAGCTCTCCCTCATATTGTTACAGATCCTCCACAAAGAAAGAGGAGAAGTATCTGTATTTTGACTTTTGCTCTCCATTGGTGCAAGATATGTTCATTTAGCAGATATGAGATTGCAGCTGTATTCAATGCAGCCTACCCTCAGACCCCCTCACCTTGTCTCATTTCCACGTGTTTATTAGCAAGCCCACACTGTAAATAAAAAGAATACCCCTTGCTCAAAGTTTATTTCAAAAGATTACATTTTCGGCATCATTTCTCCAATCCCGTCTCTCCGATGGTATTTGAATAGCCGAGCCCACACACCGGCTGTCAGCCTGGTGGCTATTCTTTCATTACGGGTCCAGTTCCCCTGAGCAACACCTTTTCTTGTGTCCTTCACTTGAGGAGGGGCATGCCCCCACCCCTCACCCCCAAGAGAGATCCTTGCCCTGCTATTTTAACCCTCTGTGAGATGACCTTTTTAATAAGTGTCTTTCTCTGTTTTCCTGCCGGCCACTGTGTGAGCAAACAGAGCATGTCTTCTGCTTCCTTCAGATAAAGGAATCAATCAGAGAGGGTGTGAGAGAGAAAAAAAAAGAGAAGACAGATAACTGGGCCATATATGGATTTATATTATGCAGATTTCCCCTTTCCGCATCCTTGTAGACGATGCAGAGTGCTCTCAACTTCAATATGAAAACACTTTCAGATTTATGAGAAAATACAAATAAAACACTAATTCTCAGTGAGAAACAATAAAAGCCCGCGCAACGCTGAAGATGCTGATTTGATTGGAAAAGTTCAGATACAGACAAAGTCTTCCACTGCATTGGGGAAATACACACTGTGTTTTTCAAAGTATGTGTCTAGTGGATATAGTCCTTCCATTTTTATCATTTCTCAGATTTTTCAAATGATTATTATTTGAGAAAAACGTTATAAGTAAATCAGTTTTAAAATCATTATTTATTATGGGCAAAAAAGCAATCCTAACCATCCTGGCTCAATATGGGCAAGGAATTAGCCCCTAAATCTATCAGTTCCACAACTTTGGCTGACAGTAACAGAATTATTTTTTCACATAACTATGCAGGAGTTCTGTTCAACTATTAAAAGCATTGTTTTAAGCAGTCTCTTAGTCTGAATGATCTGTCAAGGGTCAGGCTATTGGTTTGGTCTGTCCCAACTTTAAGT